TGAGAACAGAGAAAAACATTTAACAAATGCAAACTGAAACTTGCGTCTCGTACAAGAATTCAAATAACCATATAATCTGGGGAATAATAAAACTGCAAAACCATGGAGCAATTTTAAACAGATACATCTGTCATTAGAATAATGAACAAACTAGTCAATACTTATACAGTAAGAGAGAGCTATTCAATAGGGTCCAATTCAGCATGGGAACATAGCCTGGTGGATTCATCTCACAACTGGAGTTGGGGGAAAACAACCGATTAATAATGCAGCTTCCCAAAACGTGCAAAACCCAGCCGTCTCCCCATCGGACTGTGTCTCCTGGGCTGCAGACTAAGAGGGTGCCCAGAGTCATTAAATCCTTCAGCACCGTTTGAATACAGGTTAACTGACTGCAAAGAAACCAGATATAAATCACTGAGCAAAACAAGATTAGAGATCAGCAAGATAGCGTTCCCCTTGGGAATCCAAAAAAACAACTCATTTTGAACTATTTCCAGCATGACTTCAGCACAAAGTAACATTTGCACTTCAAAATAATAGCTGATGTCTTAAGTGCAAGCTAACAGCTACAGGAACAGTCACACAGAGCAGCCCCGAGTTTCACATCAGCTGCTCAGCCTTCAGAGGAAGTGAAAAGAGTTGCACAAGAGCTGTGCTGTACATCAGAGCAGTAACTCCCTTTCAGATAAATGCCGAAGTATTTACGTTCACTCTCCAAGCACCTGAACCCAAGCACACCACAAAAGTTTTGGTATTTGCTAGGTGCAAAAAATACCTGTACCATCCCCAGACATCTCTGGTAGATGATGTGATGCTTGAAAGGTACTGGAAGGGCATTAGCCATCAAACTCCAACTGAAACCTCATGTACACGAGAGTCAAGTAGTAAAAATTAAGCCAAAGCACAAAGGAGCACAAGCAAAGAGGATGCAAAGCAAGACAGAAACCCCATTTTATCTTTGAACATACGCAGGAATTGGTGAGTACACCCTTACGGGAAATCCTATTACTTAGGCCCATAAGCTATGAGTCAATCTCAGAGTAAGTCAGAGCCAGCCTCGGGACAAAGGAACAGTCATTTGCTAATTCAGTTGACAAATCTGGAGAAGGAAGATTCCATCTTTGGATTAAGGATTAATCATCAACAGGTATGGCTTATTTTCATTAACTGCAGACATTTCCTGCTACCACATCCTTTGCCTTTTCCAAGAAACAGGGGAGCAGCTGCGTGTCTGAGGGAACGTGAATCAGGTGACAAGGGTGAACCTCTTGCCAGCAGCCTGCTTTATGCTACCCACCTCCCAAGAACCAGCCAAACTATTTAATAAGCAGCAACGGCTAGAAAAATCTATCAAAGTTGAATCTGATCAATATGAACAAACAGAGCACAGGGAACATATAGTATCTGCTCCAGAATTGAACTAAAGCTTCAGTTTTGGGTAAGTGCCAAGGTGTTATGCCACTGCTTCTCTCCCTGGACTCCTCACTCGGGGCACAATTACTCCATTAACAAGGGAGGAGGCGGCAGCAGCTCATCAGACCATAGACTGGACTTGGGTACTCCCAGGGAATAGCATGGATTCACTCTTCACCCTCCTCGTTTTTAAAACACAACCTGTGGACTCTGTGTTTGTACCTAAACCACTTAGGGCTGATCCTGCGACATCCACTTGCCATTCCCACTTCCACCAGACAGTCTGGAGACACGCAGCTCGCGTGCTTCTGGCAAAGCTGGGCGAGGGGGTTAGGAGGGGAGATCAGACAGGAGTGGAGAAGGACGTCCAACCTTCCCCAGCAACTGGGGATAAAAGCAGCAGCAGCAGCTCAGCCAGATGGTGTTGTAAGCAGCATTGTCCATTGTGTGCAGAAGGTGACTAAAGGCAGTGCTTATACAGCAGACCCCAGGGCTCAGCCTGCCCTATCAGCTCTTACTCATTCCTTCATTCAACTACAAGCTTGAGCAGTCCTGGCAGCAAAGGTGTTACTTAAAAAGTCAGTGTCACAAAAAACTCGTGTCCTACACGGGACACAGAAAACTCTAAATTCACCTTCAGTTACAGAAATGATTAATAGATTTGCCCAAAGGTGCTTTTATGGGTACAAGACAACACCCAGAAATCAGTCACCACTTTTAATCGAGATTCTCTCCCATGCATTTGAAATTTCACAGGCTGGTGGGTTTTTGTTGTGTGGCGGTTGTTGGGTTTTATGGGAATTTTTCTTTGTGGATTTTTTTGGTTGTTTAGGGGTGGGTTTTGTTTTGCTTTTTGTTTGTTTGGTTTGTTGTTGATTTGTTGGGGTTTTTTTATTTTTTAAAAAAACATCTGCTCTAGCCAACTGTTGCCTATTTAATTGGGAAATCTCATAACTGAAAATCTCAGTGCCTGTTAAACAACCAAGCAGTCTGCATTGGAATTTAATTTTAACCATTTCAAGCCCTTACAGTATTCATGTACATGTTTTGTTTTGAACAAGCAACTTAGGAAAAAATATTTTCAAAAGATATCACATACGCTGAGACTGTTCCCATGGAGCTAAATTTGGTAGGTTACCACTTACCTGGCAGTAACAAGCTTAAACAAAAATCATTAAGAGATACACAAATTGAGTTCCAGCCATAAACCACTGCTTTACACTTCACTGTCTGCTTTAAATATTCACTGTTACACTGTCATTATACAGCAATCAGCGCATTTGCTTTGCTCTCCAAGTCTAGAGAGCTGCCATGGTCAGAATCATAAAACTCTCTATAAAAATTAATGTCAGAGGGGTTTTTTTGGTTGTTGGTTTTTTTTTTCCTTTTTCAAAACCACTGAAGTTTAAATTCAAAAGAGAATTGAGCAAGCAGCTATATCGAGCACACACAGTGCCAAGCTGGAGGATGAGTAATTTATATAACAAAAGGCTTCCTGGATTATTTTAAGGCTCAAGTTCTACAAAGCTAACAATTGAGGAAAGTGATGTTTTCCCTTTGTTTAAAAAAATAATACTCTTACCAAGGGGAAAAAAAAAAAAAAAGCACCATTGAAGAGAGAGCAGTATCTTGATATGCCACTATATTACATCCCTAGATTTCAGCAACAAGTCATCCACATGAGTCATGAGCCCACAAGTTTGGAAGGTATGTTGCCATATATCAAGATAAATACACAAAAAATACAGAGGTCCCAGATACCAAGGCATCTGCAAGTAATAACATAAATTACAAGGTACAACACATGCCCAAGAGTATTTGGTTTGAATCTTTCATTTAGGACAAAACAAAGCAGCCTTGCACTCCTGCACTGTACCTGTTGACATTCAACCCCTATTAAATCCGCATTAAACTTTAAATAACAGATTACTACATTATTCACGACGGCTGTGTATTGGACCCAGGGGAAACAGAAGTTGTATCAATACAGCGACATGATCTTCTTGCATCTGGTAAAAGTGTCTTCCACCCTTAACATTTACATAGTTGAAGGAGGGTGGGGAGAGTAGGATTTTTTCATGACTGATGAAAACAAGCCTAGATATTATGGTTTGTCCAGAGCAACTATCCCGAAGATGCCAGCTTTCAGAAAGCAGAAACTGCAAAATTAATACCTGCTTATAACAATTCACTTTATGTGCACACACACCCCCCCAAATAATAACAACAAAAAAATTCTCTCAATTTCAGCAGCATTGATGTTTAGTCACAGCATTTTTCTCATTATTTCTGATTACTAATGGTATTTCTTACAGTGTCTGTGGAAGCGCTCCTAAACATCTTAATTGTACACACGAGATGCAGAGGCCCGCAGTACTGTGACATCTGTAGGAGATGCTAGAAATCAACTTTCCCAAAACCAAATTTGCTCAGGGCACGCACGGGAAGAATTACACCTGCATTAGGCAGAATCACAACTGAAAGCTGCTCTTCTGCTCTGTCTCTCCCTGCAGCCTCTCACAATCGGCCAGTGCAGTCTCCCTAATGTTCAACATTTTGAGGAAGAGGCAGCAGCTTTCTCAAGTAAGAGCTGAAGGCATGAAAGACTCCGTTCATTTAATGTGCTAGTCACTCAGGTTACACACAAACAAGTAACAGTTTGGAAAACACATTCTGTCTCAAAATCTCAATGCCCAATAGCTCCACTTTTATTTTCTGATTCTTTCAGCACCTCCCCCTCTAGCTCTTAAATCAGTCACGGAGCTTTCCAGCACAGATCAAACCCAACTAAACCACAAAAATCTTAAAATATGCCTTTCAGCCAATCTTTGCTCAGCTTCAAAGGGTTATTGAAGACAAAAACGTAACTACAAGTAGCAAGAAAGGCATACACTCCGTTTATTTTCTCTTTGCAGGTTATTCATCTACATCAAAGCCAGAACTGAGAACAGCAACCAGGTTCCCCAGCCACCAGCCTGGTTGTCTACCCAATATATCATTCCAGTTTCAACAGGCCAGAAGAGCAAGGAGTTCCTTATAAGTAGGCTTTTTGGACCATTTATATACAACCTACATCTTCTCAAGTTTTGCTCTTAGTTATCCTTATCTGGAAGCAGGAAAAAGGAACCAATCTAAGTCAGCTTTCAGTTGACTGTTCCTAAGATTAAACAATTTAGTGCTGGATTTAGACTGTTTGTGAAATATTTTTTTTTCTTGAATGAAGTGTGCCAGGCTGGCACAAGCGACGTCTAAGTTACCAGAAAACTGAGGGAATCATCATATTCCCTATTAAGCCAGGCTTTTAAATGAAAGCCTCACTTAAAGAAGCCAGCCAGCACAGGTGACATTAAGTCAGATGATACCAATACACAAGTGAGGACCATTGGCTGCCGCCAGTGCACACTGTCATTGGCACACACGCAAAAAATGATTAATCCAACATGGATATCTGCCTGTGCTAGTCCAAAACAAAAACTTATCCAAAATCAGGTTACATTTAATATCAGTTTACAGTAAACAAAGTATTGAAAAAACACACCACTCCAAACCACACCTGCTTGAAAATGCAAAATTAATTTACTTACCTGAAGATGCTTTTCTACCCAGAGCACTCGATTCATCAGGTTAGAAGCTCACTATGAATATGAGAGTCAAAGCTCCAAAGGCCTGTTGCTGGCTGCTGCTCATGTAGTCAGAAGAGTCACTATTTAAAAAAAAAAAAACAACAAACCAACAAACAAATAATTACATATTATGAAGCAGAGCTAACAGCAAGCCTTCTGTTAAAATATTAGGAGTTATTACAATGTGAAGATGACCTCAAGTTCTACCAATAGCTGGGACATACAGTAAAGACTGTGCTAACACACATTTTTACAACGGTATTTCCCAAAGGATGCACAAGGAGAAGATCCACGTGTCCAAGTAGGGCCTACAGGCAGCTGTCACTGGATCTGAAGGAGGCCTAGAGCACTCTAGGTGCCACATGCACTCTGTGGCATCCCCCAGAGAGCAGATCCGCTCCCCAGGTGCACCAGCACTCCTACAGGAGTGGATCTTGGGCATACACTCTTTTTCCTGCCAGCCTGCGCCAGGCAAGAGTGGTTTGGATGAGAACCCCCAGAACAGGGTGGGAAACCGAGCTGCCAGAAATGGGCCACTGACCACCTGATTTGGTCCAGGGGCACCACAGACCAGAAGCTGTCTACTCACAACATCAGGAAAATCTCAGTGTTTCATTCCTAAAAGCCATACGCGGTTCCAGTGATACCCAGAGCACTTTAACTAAAAGAGCAGTCAGGCAGAACAACCCTTGGGGTACACATTGCCACTTAGAGCACAAACTAAAGAGATAAATCTCAAAATTTTCTTTGAAGGGAGCTGGTAAAGTCAGGCTCTGAACCAGGTGTCACACAGATAACAGGTTCTGTTAACAGGTAGGGTGGTGCAGGGGAAGCGAAGGAAGGCTGAAAGCCTTTTCTGCTGGTCTTCAAGGTAACAGAGATCATTTACAAGAGAGAGGGAGCACTTACACCGAAGCAAAAACAAAATGCAAAAAAAAATCAAAATGCACATGACCAAAATCCTGAAGGGGCAGCATGTGGGCAGCAGGCTTCTCTCCATCCCAGTCGGACTTCTGCCCAGCCAAAGATTACAAGCAGCAGCGCTCCAGACAAACTGCTCAGCCCCACGGCTGGGAAGCAAATACACCCTTCACCCAAACCCCCCAGCTTTCAAGGGAGATAAAACCAGGAGGGAAATTCGGAAGAGAATCAGCATCCTTTTGCATGGATAGCTCTCTGCAGGGCTATTTCAATTAAACTTTCAGATAAGGGAAAACCAGATGGCCTCCCTGTTCCATTCGTATTAGTTAGAAAATTGAGATTCGTACATTTCCATTCAAATAGTAGTTGGCAGAGGGAGGGATCAGATTCTGCTTGCTGAAGCAGAAGCAAATCGAAATAACTGGCTGCTGGGAAGCAAGCAGTCTGCAACATGGCAATTCTGCTTTCTTGGACTTCTTTTTAGCTATGTTTAGGATTACTTGGAAATTCACTTTGGATTTTACACTGCATTCTTGCCTCATCTTCAAGATTCACCCATCAAAGTGCCTTTGGGAGGGTGCGATCAGGCACCCCCCACTCAAACACCCACCCTAAGAACCCACCAGCCCAGCCTCCAGTGGAAGACTCTTCTCTGTAACAGGCTGAAAGTCAAATGGGTTCTGTCCATCCAGGTGATGCCAGGGCGCACTGCTGCCTTGCCACCCCACCCTGTTTGCTGTAGGATTGGAGTAGTAAGAGCTAATGTTTACAAAACGTAAGAGAAGTTATTCATTCCATGAACACCCACCAGCACATCTTCGGTAAGGAGGAAGGCCCTGTTTCCATGAGTAATTGCACTCTTATCTTGTAACAACAGTCACCCTCCCAAACACATCATACTCCCTCTGCTCACAGGCACTCACTCATCTGCCAAGTTTTATGAAGCCCAAAAAGCTGCCCATCTGCTGAGAGTGTTAACATCAAGAAAGCCAGCCTGCTGTACCCCCCCTGCATCCAGAGGGAAAACTCCAAACCCTGCATACCCACTCTTCTAGGAGGGGCAGATCTCCCCAGTCCATGAGGTGATGGAGCACAAACTGGCATTCAAACGTAAACACACATTTTTGACGAGCAAGTAATGAATCAGCATGTGCTGCCAAGCACCCAGCCCCTCCCAAGATGCTGGATACTGGCTGGAGCTTCGCACTCTCTGGTATAAAGCTAGACTGATGCTGTAAGGACATGTTTTCTGCCACATATGGAATTATTTCTGAACCAGTCTAAAGAAAGCAGAAGCAATTCACACCAACAGTTAACTTCTTTTACTACCAAAGTTACACTGATAGCAGAACTGCATGGCAAGGTTTGATTAGAGCTCGTTCCTATCTTTCTTTTGGAATGCACAGCAGTTTGTTGTATTAAAAAAAAAAAAGTTAAAAAAAAATATCTAACACGTTACTCACTTTTCAGAATAAAAGATCTGTCTTACCTAAATTGGTTACCCTGTATTCCAAACTCCTCCATCCTCTGCTCCTTCCCCCAGAGGAAGACCCTTCTGTTTGCTCAGCAGTGACTTCTGCTCTGCTGGGGTACTGGCTGCCAAGCTCATGGACCAGGTTCCTTAAACTGCATATTAATATCTTTAAGGAAATAGTTCCGTTTCTGGAGTTGCTAAGCGATAGCAAGCCATAACAGCACGAGAGAAGCTCGCTTCTAGTTTAGCATATAACATGACCACGTTCAGCTCTGTGATACCACTTGCTTTAACATCTGCAGATTTCTTTAATGCAGAAACACCAGCCGAGAAGCAGTTCTGATGGTTTTGATGCTATGAAGATTAATTTCTGAAGTTACTTGCTAGTCTTGTTCTCCACATCACAAGATGGCTAAGAACTACCAATCACTCTCAACAGCATGCAAACACCCTCTAAAGCATCGCTAGCTTATTCAGAATATATACACCATTTTGCAACACCTCATCTAATATATCATAACCAGCACAGGCTCAAACTTAGGACTGGCTTAGAGTTGATGCTGCATCTCTGACTAACGCATTCAAATAGCTTACAGTTTGCTGAAACTTGCAGGATTTCCAGAAAAAAATCAAATCATTCAAATGCTTTTCAGGTGAATGCTACCATCCTCATTATTCATGCAGAACTGTTAAGCAAACCAACCATCTACATGATTCAAGAGAGTAAGTATCCATATCCAAAGACCGAGAGTCACTTTCTGTTACTTTACAGAAGCAAAAGTGTCTCCTCATGCTGTACATCAGCTGTGCCTGCAAAGCACAGACATGATGCTTTGGAGGTGAGGATTCTCTTCTTCCGTTTTTCCTTCCCACTTAACAGGTATCCACAAGCAGCAGCGTTGCAAAAGAAGCCAGAGTAGGCTGTTGTCTTACTTTCTAATCCAACATAAACAGCAAAGGATCAGGAATGGCTGCAAAGGCTGCATTAACCGGCTACTGACTGCTACATAGAAAAGGCACCTCAATGATTAGAGCAGTGTTTTCATTTTACACCCGAGCACAGAAAGGCAGGCGCGTTTCCACAGTTCAGTGGCATGTTTGCTTCTTGTTTGCCAGACACACTAAAGCACTCCTTAAAATGCACTGGGGAAATTCAGCCTAAATAGACCAGTGCGAGTTCACCAACCCAGTACGCTTGTGGATGAAAGAAGTCAAATTAATTGATTTAAAACCAATGTAAGCGATTTTGAGAGAATGTCTAGCCCATGTCGTTTTAACCCTCCTCGCAGTTAACTCTTTGAACGTAGGAATCCAGTAAAATTTGTGGTGCAGTTCTTAGACAGAAAACATCTCCAAAGGCATGCTAATCACTGAACTATGTTGCAAATTGCTCCTGATCTACAGTTGTTCACCTCTGCACTCCTCCTGTGCAGACAATAAAATCATATAGCTAATCGTAATGGAGCGCTCACTCCCGGGGAAAGGGAATGCAAAAAAAGAATGATCCCAGTTTGTTTTATGTTGACAGATCTGCAGTAGGGGACCATTATCTGAATACTACTCTCCCTCCCTCGCCCCAGCTTCTGCTATAATATTTTAGGGTAACTTTCATTTTATATTTTTGTCTTTAATTGTAAAAAGCAGGATATGCTTAGCTCCTACTTCCATTTTAGGAAGATTTAGAGTCAATTTCCTCCTGCCAGACACACTGCATTTTCAATCAGTGCTTGGTGAAGCACTAAGGGAAGCAGCCCAGAAACAACCTCTTCACCTTCCTTGAACAGAAAGATGGCAGCAGAACAGCTAGCACACTGCAAACTCATTCCTAATGTCCCAAAGCCCCAAGAAAACTCTTGTTATCACGACCGACAGCAACCTAATTAAGCGAATTAGCAAGATTTATTCATGGAATTACCTTTGTTTAGTTCTTCCCAATGGGGGCTGGAAACAAAACTGAGGGGAAGAAGCCCAAAAGACTTCAGTGACAAACAAAAGATAATGTTTGCAGCAAGCACACTTTTTTCACTATTAAAATTTGCACTTTTATCACAGAAGTACACAACTGCGCGCAGTCTCACACCAAGACATCTGTGTACTTTCTGCACAGGCTTTTACAAGCCAGCCATACACCACCAAGCCTTGACTTCCATTTTATCCTGTAAATAAATGAAGTATAATTTTTAGAAGCGTGGGGCAAAAATAACTGCATGAGCATCAGTTAAGACAACAAACTTTTGCAGTCTCCTACCAAATAACTATGTCAGAGAGAGAAGGAGATATAACAAGGGGGAGAATTAGCTTCTATTAAGAAATAGCCAGATCCAAAACCCCCTTTGCTGTTGCCTGGGTTTATTTTGAGGTCATGTCATGAGATCTAACACACAAGTACGCAACAAATCACAATCTTGTTATCAGAGACAGCCTCTTTCCTGGTTTCCAAAATAATCATTCCTCTCTCAGGCCCCCTCCCCACTTTCTTGTTGTTCAGCATTCCAAGAAACCTTACAGAACACACTCCTCTCCACAAATCTGGCCTCAACATTCCTGAATCTCCTCATCACTCGGGGGGCCAACTGCCCCATGGACACTTGGAAATCTTTACACTAGATGGATGCTAGGATACCGACGAGTGACTTGGTACACACTGATATTTTCAGCTGTCCCTATATAGTAAGATGCTCAAGA